CAAATTGAGAACCGCGGCCAGAGTTTGAACTTGATGAGAAGTTCGTGGTAACATCGATTGAAAACTTTCAAAGAGCTCTCTACTGTTTGAACAATCGGCTACCTGATATGGTCGAGCCTATTCGAAACGGATAAATTCTAGAACATTCTGTTAGAAACACTGGCAGTAACGATAAAATAAACACGTCATCCCACGTTTGCTATAGCAACCAAATCGGTTCAAAACAAACAAGGCTCGACCGGAACGTAAACGTTCAAATTTCACGAATTTCAAACTCTAAAACAAACACTTTTTGCAATTTCTCTCATTCAAATCAGTTGGCTAGGTAATTATACAAAAATTCAGCAAAAAATAAAGAGATGGAAAACGGAAATGCGGACAACGATAGAGACAAGGTGGAGAAAGATAGAAGTAGAAAGAAAAACGCGAGGATCAGCGACATCAGACAGGGTGGAGGACAAGACCAAGTAAAGGAAGAGGTCATGGAAACAACTTTTCAACGAACAAGATTGATAAAACGGGGGCCAGGGGCAAACAACGAGGACACAAACAGTTCAGATTCAGAAATACCGTATGTGGAGTGGAAGATAATGCAACAGCAGATAAAGAACAAAAACGAAGCCGGGACTTCTACATCGGCGGGCTCAATTTGTAAAACAGGAGTATCAGCAACAGCTGCATGCAGTAAGATGGCGGTGGACAAAAAGGAAATTCCCAAATTAGTTTCCTTTTGGGACCTAGTAGGCTTAGAGGGATCGGACAGACCAAAAACGATGCTAAAACTGGAGGCACAAACAGAAATGGTCAGCCCTAAAACGACCGAGAATTGCGTCGATGAGAGTAAAAAACTAACGATAGTTGATGTGGACCTCACAGCTGACAGTCCGGAAGAAGATGACCACGAAGTAATCGTGGTGTAAAGAAGAATCAGCCATAGTTCAAGAAAAGAAGAGCAGAGTGAGACTGACAGCAAATTACCAGGAGGGCTAGACAATCTCGCACGGTTGTTTGACCGGAGTTTGCTTGCAGAACTTATCACGGAGGATACATGGATGTACCGCCTACATCGAGTGATCGAAAAGAATGACAGACACAGTTTTGAGCTGATGGGCCCATACACTAATCCCTTATGGCACCAGCTAGGTGTAGTGGACGACTGCATGCTCGTTAACGATCGGCTAGCGGTTCCATGTCAACTGCGTTCGGCAGTTCTGAAAAAAATTCATCGGGGTCATCTCGGTCAAGAGGCAATGCTCAATGTGTCACACTACTTGTGGTGGCCGCACATGCATAAGGACATTGTTAACCTGGCGTAAAAATGTAGAAGCTGTAATCGCTATGGTAAGAATGCTAAATATATCATTCCTAAAAATGCGACTAAACCACTACCACTGCTATCGCAGCCGGGGCAGGAGTTACAATTAGACTATGCAGGACCGCTAGAAGATCATAAGGGAAAGAAAATTTACTTGTTGGTAGCAATAGATCGGTATTCAAAATTTACGTCGGTGAAAATTACTAAATCGACTGGGGGAAAATCGTCAATTGAGTTCCTCCGCACCTACATTGATACGTATGGAAAACCAGAATCTATAAGAACTGACCAATTTTCTGGGTTCAAGGATAAAGCTATAAAAAAATTTTGTTCTGACGACAACATAGAACAAAAATGTTGCCCGGTGGGAGATCACCGAGAATGTGGATTAGTAGAACGAACTATCCAAACAATTAAATGAAGATTAAGAGTATTGCTTCTGGGCAAAAACGTCGCGTCAATAAAGCTCTGTCTTAGCACGATAATTCGAGACCTTAGATGGGCCAAACAAAAAACCATACAATGCTCTCCGTTTGAAGCTCACTTTGGACGTCTTCCAAAAACAGAGTTTAAAATATTAAGCGACAGATTTGTAGCTAATTCTGATATTTAGATAAACAACACTTGGAGAGATCAGCACTCGCGGCTCCGCAATTAAGGAAGAGAATAGACCAATCCAGGGACTATATCAAAATCGTGCCAAAAGGATCGTACAGTCGGGATGTCAGCCCGCTGTTTGAACAGAAATAGCTACTGACGAAGGACAGAGACAGTGCAGAGGCATTGAAGACGCTGCTAGAGGCCAATACACGATGGAATGCCACCCGTCGGGATGCACCGGACAGTGACATCCGGAGACTTGTGGACGAAACGAGTACGATCAACCCCGAACTGAGAAAGGAACTACTGTACTCGTGAGAACAAGGTTTTATTGAAGACAAACCGGTGGTGGAGCAAAACAATACATGGTCACCAACTTTGCTTTGCAAAGACAAAAACCGGAAGAGCGGAAAGGGTCTCACAAACCCTCTCAAGGGAAAGGTGACGTCTCAAACGCAGTATACTATGCAAAACAGCTGCTAGAGCAATATTTCGGAAGAGTGACATTGCACAGTCAAAAGTTAAGTCACCACTACCGCTAAAAACCGCGAAAAATAGATGAATCCAAAAAGAAGCGTGTCGGCAAGAACGACCAATTACAAGAAACAATCAATTCGGATGATGAAGAAAGCCAACAAAACAAAGCGGAAGATCATAAGGCTAAGGAGCGCTTCCAGGACAGTCCTGTAAGAGTCACATCGAAAGATACGGAGTAAGGGGGGAACTAAACCTGGCTGTAAAACGGGCGAAACCCAATAATGCTGGGCCGACTTTGAGTATCCCAAAACAGCTGAACCAAGGCAGACCAATGAAAAACAATAAAAAACCAACCGCTCCAGAAGCTCGTAGAGCAAAAGCTGCTACAGCAGTTACCGATGAACAAACTACTGACGGCAACAATGAGAGCCCAGGACCGTCAGATAAGAGCACCCCACATGCGTCAACTCCAATCAAACAGGCGAAGTTAAAATAAATTAACCGGCAGACCAGTCCAAATGCAATACTGGGAACATTTCAAAACCAGGACATGACACGGGATGAATGGAAGATGGCAGATCAAGTATTGACAAGAGGAATTCAGAAAACCGCCGAAGATATTCTCACGTCCAGAGAATATGACTCCCACACAGATACACCACCATGATTCTCGGATGAATCAAGCAAAGACGAGCATCAGATCAACACCGCACCAATTAGGAGAAGTAATCGACAAACTAAGAGCCAGGGACCTAAGAGAGTCGGTAACCCAATTAAGCACTCAGTGCGCTTAATTTGTTCGGAGGATGACATAACGGACCTGAGTAAGGCCGCCTTGGAGTCATATCGTCTCAAACTGGCGAGGCTCAAAACAGACACGAACAGACTAGCGGAGACAAAGTTGGGCTTATTAGAGAGACATTTATTCCGAAGAAAGTTCGGATACGCAACGCTTGACGGACGCGATCGTGGAAGGCTTCGTGGCGGGTCTCACTGAAATTCGATATACCGGAAGAGAGAGAGAGAGAGGCGAATTAATTGCAATACAAGGAGACCGGCAGAAACCGGTCTCCGGCAGAAACCGGCAATACAAGGAGACCGGGAGCATTTAAAGAGCAAAAAAGACTTTTCATATACAAACATTAAACTGAGTTTTAAAAAAACTCTTTTTGTTTTATTAAATTTTTATGTTAATATAAAATTTATTTGTCCAGCGGGGAATGTGGTACAGTAGCTGCAGCTGCAACCACATTACAGTAACCTTGGGGAGTGCTTATATTGTTTATGTATTTATATGATTATTATTATGAAAATAAAAAGAAATAAAAAGATTTCATGTGAATTGACATTTTGAGATCTACTTTTTTTAAGACTTATCCACCCTGGGCATAGAGGTATCACGATGTCAATAAAATGGAAAAAAATCAAGAAAACTATTGACCAAAATTCTACCTAAAATGGCGCCTCTGAGCAGTGTATTGATAAAATAGACAAAAACGAAAACTTTAACCTATCTTAAACGAGCAAAATTGAAAACCTACAGAAACGCTGTAAATGTATACCGGAAAATTTTAAATATGGACCAGCACTAAATTTCAATAAAATACTTAGTTTGCTAAAAAATTTCAATGGAGATTTTACCCAAAATTTGTTATTTAAAACATCGATTCACAAATATTTGCAATCAAAACGTTAAATTTAAGCACTATCAATATTCAAGATTCAATCATGATTGAGTACGAGTGAATTTAGAGAAACTGCAAATAATGTGTTTTCACGCGCGGTGAAATGCGCGTTCAAAAATACCAAATAGCATATGTCTATCTGACGTGACGTCATCATCTCGGAGTTTTTCAAGTTTGCAGTCAGGCATTATTTGTCTCACTCAGGGTTTAGCCTGTCTGTAGGAAAAAACGTATGCTCCTTCTAGGAACAGGCCTTCATAATGCCGGAACAGTCCTAAGAATATTATCTCGCCTGAAAAATGGATGATCAGACGTGAAATTGTACACAAGATCAGTACGGGTAGAATCATTCATTGGGTTCAGAATACAAGAACGTTTTCCATTTCCAGCCTCCATTGAAGTTCTGTTACAAATCTCTATTGGAAAAATATACGACGGCATTTGAAAAAATAGATATTCAAAACTATCCGACTAAAAAAAACACCAATTTTGATATTATGTTCAGCAGAAGCACTTAAAATTATGCTTCTCAGAAGAAGTTAAGTAGGTCACGGAAAAAAGTTGCAGCCAGTTGCAGCATCCTTGCTTATCGCAAGAGTAAAGAACTTATATATGATACTTGTACTTGACGCTCTGTGAGCTTTCTTTACTTTTAATCGGCTGCAAAAAAACCCAACGCCATGGTTCGCTCACTCTTTAGATATTGGTCTCAACAAATACAAGGAAACATAACCTGTCTTCTCTAGATTCACTCTCAAAACTTTTTAATTTATATCCTTGGTTCAAACAGAAAAATAAGGACTTCGCTTTTTGAGTTCGGCGAGTCAGAAAATTTACACCTCAAATCTCAGTAACAAACTATCAACTACCCCTCAACATCTTGGATTCAAGTTCAAGTTCTTTTTCATCTATGAATAAAAAAGTAGTGACAAAATTATTTCTTCAAAAGTCAGTAACAAACAGAATGTCAAAAAGACATATACGGACAAAAATATCATCTCAATAATAACAATAACTGCTCTGGCCTTGAAAAGCTTTAATCTCATTACCTGCTGGAAGCTAAGGAAAATATAGACCCAACCCTAGCTATCAATATAAACAGCATTATTATGGGCCCCAATGTCGGTACACTAATCAGTTTGTTGTGAGGTAAAAGAATTCGATTGAAAAGATTACATGTGAAACTAGGTGTTGTTGATCATCAATCAACATATTGAACTATCAATCGATCTCTCTTTACAGCAGTACATCGTGAAACTCGGTTTGAAAATCATATTGAAGCAATAAATGGAGAGCAGATTAATAAATGAGCAGCAAAGCGAGTTTGAGTTTTACAATTCGTCACCAATAATTGTCCGAGTCTGTATTTTGCAATCCTGTAATGTTACGTCTCTCTTCTGTCGTGTATTGTCCTTTACTCGCCCGGTTTCCCTAATGGGCTTGCAGACTAGGGAATGCCTGTTCGTCCTCGATGTTTGGTTGGTTCGCTCCTGGGTAGTTCCTATCCCCGCCTCGGTATCCTCCTCGGCCTCGACCGCCGCCGCCAGGACGTCCACCGCGTCCTCGATTTCCCAGAGGCTGCAGATCAATCGGGAGGACTTTCCTCTCCCGTCCGGATCCTTGGGCCACTTGGATCACCATCTCCTGTGAGAATTTATTAATTAATAAATAACCAGATGTTATAGATACAAGTCTTTCTTTTCTAAAGCCGGATCCGCCTCTGCAAAAATTTATACTCCTGTCAGTTTTTTTTATCAGTTGTTTTTTTCAATGCGCGCAATTCCTATTCATCAGGTACCTAATAGTTCAACACCAGCAAAATCTTAACAAAAACATTTTCACCTGCAACACCAGTTTTGAATAAAATATGATACTAAGTAAATTTACGTTAACGTTAACCAAGATACAATCGAATCATTTCACAAAACTTATGTCACTCTTCTTGTTTTTTGAGAGCCTACTTAAAAAAGAGTGCCTACCTCCTGGTCCTTGCTTGACTTTTGCAGCTTCTTTACGACCTTGACTCCAGAGTTGAAGGACCCCTCTCCTTCGCCGGGCTTTCTCAGCTGGCGTTGGGGCATGCCACTCTTGGCTTTCTCCTTCTGGCTCATGTACTCTTCCAGACTCATGGTGGGCGCTTCCTGAGGCTCCTCCCCAGCTCCTTCCTCTCCGCCTTCTCCCGCCGCATTCTCGTCTCCTCCAGCTGCTGGCCTAGAACAAACAAGTATTCGAATATTCGCTAGCATGCAGTTAGATCTAGGCCTCAGGGCTGACACGTTTCTACAGCTTATCCAGGGTTTAACACAAATTCAACATAATTTCTCTCAGCCATTCCATTCACTTACTGCATCTTTGTCCCTAAAAGTTCAATGTGAATTTTCATTTTTTCTAAAGAGTAACTTTCTTCATTCTTGGACTTTTTTTCAATGAACCCATAAAAAAATTGGGTTAGCCTAAAACTACAGTTCGACGATGTTGTTAATTCGTGACGACAGAAAAAGTCAGCTCCGATTAACTTACTTCTCTTCTGTCGTCTTCTTATCTTCGCCAGTATCTGCTTCAGCGTCAGCCGGAGGCGCGAAAGTCTCGGTGCTGAAAAGACACTTCAAGTTATAGGAACGTTACGAACAGGTGGTGATTTTTTCGATTGCTGTATCTTACGTGAAGTCCTTGATGGAGTTGCCCCAGTTGTGGGATCCAGCACCGTCTCTCTTATCACTACTCTTCACTCCACTGAAACAAATGATAATTTAAGATCAAGATTCTGAGCATCACAACCAAAGAAAGGTATAGGAGACAGATCAAAGATTTCATGAAGAATACAATAAAGATTTTCTGCAAAACTTTCTTGGATTTTGAGCTAAAACAAGTGGTCATTTGAATTGATTCCTATCTTGCATTCAAGCTTGTTTAGTAAAACTACCCATATGGCATCTACTTAAACGCTCTTCGAAAGCGTATTTAAGACAAAGTCGAATGGACTCTTAGCAAAGAAAGAAACGATGACTAATTACAAAAGCAACAAATTCCAACCCAAAAAAGTCCAAATCAGAGCTGAAAATTCGGCCAATTTCAACTGACCAAAAAATTCGGCCAACTTGGTTGCAATCAGACATACGCCACTCTCTAATCAGTCTAAAGGTATTTTTCCATATCTTCTTGGATTCCGAATAACAACTACGAGAGCTTTAAAACAAAATATCACTAGACCTCGTGTACAAGGCACCTAATTTAGCGGGTACTCTGGACACCACAAAATTTAGTTACTTTGCAAGTAGCATACAAAGTTCTGACCAGTCATTATGGCGAATTTTTTTTTACTTAATTTTTTTCGTAAATTTTTTTTCTCTTATTATGCTGAATAATGCAGCACAAAAAAATTGAACTACAGTAGTTACCGAGAGAATCTCCGTCATAATTTGCCACCCGATTCCATTTGAAACTTATTAGTGGTACCTCATTTTCCGCTGAAGAACACTCGAAATCTTAGTTCTTTCTTGCTTTCGGTAGTAGAAAAAATGAGTTAAAACAGTGTCAAGCTTTAGGAAAAACTGAGCAAATTTGTTTATCGTAACTAACACGGAGGCAAAGAGGAGACTCGCAACATTTCCACAGCATAGCATTGCCAGCTGGCGAATAAAAAAAAATGAGACAGAGATTACCAAGTCAAAAAACATTTGAACATAGACAAGAGACAATTGGAAAAGAGTCAACGAACGCAAGGAAACAGAAAAGAGAACCTGACTTGCTTTTTGAAAAAACTTCAACTTAAGATTTTCAAACTAAAAAAAAATACGGCTCCACAGCTCTTTCAAACTTAGGAACAACTTTTTTTAATACAACATGGATCAATAGTAAGTTTTTTCTGCTGGGAAATCAGAAAATTGAAATCCACTTTTGAAATTAGAAAAGGCCTCAAAGTGCTGAGATTTTAGTAACCTAGCCGAGAGACAAATGAAAGAGGATCAATGCACGCAAGGGTACAAAGAACCCCATGACTTGTTTTTTTTGGAAAATGGGCTTTTTCAATTGAAATTTGGAATCTGGATACATTCGAAGCCCTTGCTCACTTGATTTTGTGGTAACGCTTGTGCCTTGAGATTCTTAGGTCTGGCTCGAATCCCGGCCAGACCTTGTTATTTTTGGATACGTGTTGGTTTCAGTTTTTCCAAAAAAAATTTGAATCGCTATCTATCAATTGTCTGCTCATTTTTAGTCAGCCTAATTTCCAAGGTATGGAAACCTATTTTAATTTATACATTCTTTTTTGTAAATGAAAGTCCTATTGATACTTGAAAAACTTAAGAACTCTGATTTCCACTACGTTCCTCGCTTTTTTCCCGCTGAAATGGTTTTGGCTGATGATACATCCGCTTAGCTCACTTTGTTCACAGAATTCACACGTGAAAATGTTACACATGCTTTGCTTTCGAACTTTAATTTACAAAATATGACCTTGAGCTCTTGAATTTTAAGAGCAAATTTTAATTAACAATTTTTGGATAATAACAACTCAAATTTGAGTAAACTGGGTCAAGGGGCAATAGTTTTATTCCATTGGGTAGCCTAAAAATTAAATCTTATCTTCAAAACTAGAAGCCATTCACATTTTTTGTGACCTTTACACTTTCTTTGTCCGAAAGTGAAATTGGCCTTCCCTTCTGAGCTTAAAACAAACTGAGCTTAAAACGCGAATAAAATTAAGCCTGAACATTTTAGTGAGAAAAAATAAAATAAATTCACCACAACCTATACAAGTGTCTTAAGTACAACCATCAAGTTAAATAAAACAAATTCAACTTCTTAAAGATTTGTATAAAAAGATCCCAATTACAAGTTACTTGCTCTCGCGACGGAAAGTCATTGGAGGAAACATTGATGATAATGTTCATTTTTCATATAACAAGAAGCGAATAACACTACAGAAAAAAAACAAAGGTAAAAAAGATTTCACCAAAAACAAAAGAAGACAAAAAATGCTCAATTGACGTAAGCTTTCAAAAGAAAACAATCAGGCAAAACAATAAGACCTTTAACATAGTCAATAGTAGAAAAAGTGTAAACAACAATGAAAACAAAACCAAGCCAGATTTTTAGTTTATAACTTTTCGAGCTGTTTTAAAACAGTTCCCTTATCCGAAAGGGAAAAACGAGCTGTTCAGTTTTTCACAAAAAACTGCAGTTGTGCCCCTAGTTAAGATCTACATGCAACTTTTTTGGCTAGCTTTCTGGGCTGGGTAATGTTGGTTCACCCTCAAGCAACGAGCACGGATCATGATGATCCTCCAACATCCGACCTTTCGATTGAGAGGCGGAGAAGTAACCACTTCACCACCGCTCCTCTCAGACTCATAAGCTTCAGACCCTTGAAACAAATTATATCGCTTGCTCTTTTATGATTAAAAATGTTTGTTTAAAAAAGGCATTCAAGAAAACTGGATTACTAAATACTTTCTAGTCCGCTGGGAAATCCTGACACAGAGACGAAGCGGAGCTCCGCATTACTTGCGATACAAAATGTATGACTATGATTACCAGAAAACGAAAAGACAAAACATAGCCAATCGAAGATTGGAAAAAAGTAATGAACGCATGTAAACATTTAAAAAACACTGCCTTTCTTGAAAAAAACTCAACTTTCGAATTTCAAAGAAAAAAACAGATGCCCGTTAAGCTCCTTGAATTTCTTGAACAATTTATGATTGGGGCTTTTTGGGATGAATAGGTATAATTTTTATTCCTCTGAAAATCTAAAAACTAAATTCCACTTTCGAAACTAGAAATCGTTCACGTTTTTTCGCGCCATTTCCACGTTCGTATTTGAAGAGTGCTATTTACGTCACTTTTAGCAGATGAATTTCGATTGAGCTCAAAAAGTGCATTATACCTAAGTGCATCAATATTTTAAGACTTTTTCCTGAAAAAACAATCAGCAAGACCTATATAAGAGTCTTCACTAAGTTCATAACTCAAAAAAAAAACATTTAAAAAAATCGTTTTTTGTCAAAAAAATATAAAAAGTACAAAAAATAACAAATACCTGAAACAAAATTCCCGCATCATTCGAAACTTTACAAAGAGTTTTCAAAATGCTCAAAACAAACTGCACCACGTTTCTGCGTGATCTAAGCCGACAAAAATCAGCATACACTTAAGTCCAAAAAAATCGAAAACTTTCAGTTTCGACAAAAAACCGGTCCGCGCTGAAATCGAACTTCTGGGATTTGTTGTCTCAAGCATAAGTGTTACCATTGCACTAAAGGCATAAAACACTACTTGAATTTATAAAGAAAACAACTTCCAAAAATTTTGAAAGCATAGTCTGAAAAAAAATAGGCAGATTTTCTTTTTTTTAGTACAAAATGCCTAAATTTTAGGCAAATTTTGGTGCTTCGGCTACTAGGCCGACAAAAAAGCAAAAAAAAAACAGAAGTCCGGCACAGATTTTTTGACGTGCGCATAATTTACCGCTTAAAAAAACTGGTCCTGGCCGGATTCGAACAATTGACCTTGTACTTTATAGGCAGGTGCCTAACCTTTTCGCCACATGTGCTAATCAAATTCTCAATTTTGATTTCATATGAATCAAAGGTTAAATGATTCAAGTGATTCTGCTCATCTAGTTGTTAACCCGAAAAAGTCTGTATTCCGGTTTGATAACGGTTGCTAATCGCTAGCGTAAGCATAAAACTTTTTGAAAATAATAAAATTCTCCCACGTTTTTTGCGCGCGCGTTCTCGCATTTTTCTTCAATAGGAGTAATTTGCTTCTTTCAATTTAAATTTTTTATATGGCTTGGAATTGCCGAATAACAAAAAAAATAAGCGTAAGAACTTACAATTTTTAAAAAAACCATACGTCCTAAGTAAATGAGTTCGCTAGATTCTTCGGTAACAGATAGAAAAAAAAATAATCATTTTTCGTCTTTTTCGATATTTCATTGTCATTGGGAACAAAGCCGAGAACAGTTGGAACAGAGCGACTGTGAACGCAAAGAAACGGAAAAAAATTGACGTGTTTTTGAAGAAACTTCTACTTTCGATTTTCAAAAATATATGGCTTTGAAACTTCAAGACCGATTTACGACGGGCAATTTATTGATAAAACTACCCCAATTTGAGGAAACTGTAGTGTTGGGTAAAGTTTTTATTGTGCTGGAAAATCTCAAAACTAAATTCCACTTTCGAAACTAGAAATCGATCACACTTGTCCGCGCCATTCCCTTCTATAATTATGCACTTCTATAGCTATAAGAGCATTAAAGACTTTTCTGAAAAAAACGCATCACCACGTATATAAGTCTCTGAACTACCTTCAACGAATCTTTTTCTCAGATTGACAATTGGTACCTTCAGATAATTTCCAAATCGTGAAAACGAATCGATCGAAGCGAGTCCGTTTAAGTTCCAGTTCTTAAGCTAAATTCCAACATCTGGAAACCATTCAAATACTCAGAGATGGAACATGCAAACAAAAGATCCCTTAACTAGCTAAGAACATTCTGTCTAATTTCAACTAAAATTTTCAACTAAAAAAAAGAAAAAAGACTTTTAGAAAAATTTCTTGCTTTATGAAGGGCAAATATTAAGCAGGGGATATGTCTTTTCCGAGAAAAAAGAAGAAGACGGATAGTCGGTTTCTGTGCAAGTATCACAGAACGTTCCGGCCACAATAATTATTTTAGAAACCATAAAAGTAAAACTTAGTTCTCATGGCTTAGATAGAAGTTCAGCGTCCTAGTCTAAAACTGCTTGCTCCAATTATTTACTCAAAACTAAACTAAGGAAAAAACTTTCGACACAAAAACTAATTGCTGAATCTTTTAAGTCATAAGAATCACTTTAATATGATTTATCATTCAATTTATTCTGATAAAAAATTGTGATATCAGATTTTGCGGGCAAACAATTAAAAAAAAACACTTCAACACAGAGGTGAAGCTGAGCTTCGCAACACCTGAAAATTGCGGCTAAACACAATGGCCGGCATTGAATTAGCAGGGAAAAAAAGAAAAAAGAGCAAAACAGGTACTAATGGTCATGAAAAATCCAAACATGTACTAATGGTCTTGAGACAAAACAGGTACTAATGGTCATGAAAAATCCAAACATGGGATTTTTTAGAAGCAAAAAATATAGAGAGACACCTAACTTACTTAACCTGTTTAAACTTGAATTGCAAATGAAAAAAAAAACAATATAAAGAACGGTAGGAAATCATTAAGTGAACTAAAACAAATAGCGAAAATAAACCAACTTTTTTATTTTGAAAAAAATTCTGAAAATTACGAGCAAAATATGAATAAAAATTTTTTTACTGGTAATTTGTCATCTGATAGTACCAAAACCTCCTAAACCCGAGTCTCTTGCTTAGAGAAGTTATCGTTCTACAAAATCATATAGGCTGGATAGCACTTGAAGCGAAATAAAAATCAAGTGACGAAAACTACTGATTGAAAATTATTTCTCGAAAATTGCAAAACTCGCGACTTCAATTACCTTGCTAATTGGATGTCAAGAACAGCAGGCCGCTCAAGAAATATCGAGGAAACATTTACAACAAAACTTTACCGAAGAGATACAAACTAAAAATATAAATTTATTTTAAAAAATCAAATTATTTTCATGATGCATCGAAACTTTTTTCAAACTTTCAAAAGAAGGTCAGAGAAGTGATTTTAAAATTTCAAACATATCTGGTAAAGTTGAATCAATGACAAAAATGACCAAAATTGAATAAAAATCAGCAGGTAAATAAGCCGACCGAACTAAAGCCGACACTAAATAACCTGAGAAACGGCCGAAATATTTTCAGCAAAAAAACTATACAGAAAAATCTTGCATCTACCACCAATAAAGCAAGCTCTAGCCGTATATAGGCAACACAAATAAGATGCGTACTTGAAACTTTACCATATCTAACTTGCTTCAAGCTGTACCATTGTGAACAAAGTTATTTACGGGGGGAAAAGTCTAGTACCCGGTTGCATTACCCTTGCTTGCGGCAAAGGTAAACACACCCTAGATGACATTCCTCGCGGCTTCAGTGGTCGGAACAAAAAGTAAACAAATCGACCTGCAAGTTAAGGTGGTGCGGGCCTAGTATATAAGAAAACATTTAGTAGCAACTCACGTTTTCTCCGATCCGCTTTTTCTATCGAATTCTCGTTTTCCTCCTCGGTTGTCTCCAAACCCGCCTGCCGCTCGTGGGTAGCCACCTTGACGGTTTCCGACGTTCGAGTTGGAAAATGCAGTCGTCGAGAATCCTCCGCCACTGCCACCACCGCCTCCTCCACCGAAACCACCCGTGCCGGTGCTGCTGCGGGTGCCAAACCCGCCTCCAGATGGGGGAGCGTTTCCGCCGAAAGGTCTAGGGGGTCGTCGCGAATCATCGTTTGTTGCACTTACGTTCTTTTCCTGAGCAGCCTGATTGTTGACTGGTGCGCGTGGCTGAGACTTGGGTGGCATTTTCTCAGCAGCTGGCTTCGGTGGCGCGGAAGTGATAGCAGTAGCTTAAAAAAACAGTCGTCAACTTAAAAAAGATACAATAGAGGCGCATTTTTCCAGTTCAAAAGAATTCAAATTGTAGATGCTGACGACTATACCCCCGTTATACAAGCCAAATAAAGTATATCGCGCTGCTGTCATTTCTTTATATCTGTTCTTTCGCTAACAAACTTCGTTTCACTTTGAAATTATGGTTTATTTTTTTCTTTATAGTTTCTTGTTTTTTTTTTGGACAGAAAAAACCTGTAATGAGATGAGAAAAACACGAAAAAAACGTACTTTTGGGCGCTTTCTTGTTAGGTTCTTTCTTCGTGTCTTTTTCCTTCTTCTCGACTACCTTTTTTGTATCTATGTTTTCCTCATTTTCGTCGTCGTCGAGGAGTAAGAACCTATTGTTCGTATTAAGGTGACTCATTATAATTGAACTTGATCAGAGAACTGAAGAAAAGTAACTTCCAGATGATCGATTTGATTTTATATACTGCAATTACCAGTGCTTTTCATAACAACAATCTGAAAAAAAATCACCACCTCTTGATAGTTGTCTATCATATTTAACAACTTTCTATCATGATTCATTATGCTTTAGATGTATTTATTGATATGACCTTATTGCTAACAGCTAACCAACTTGTAAACTGACATCGCATAATGAAGAGGGCATCTCTTAATAAACGCTTTTTCGATGAATAAAAAAGTAAAACCAAATGCCACTGAGCTCGGAAGAAACAGGAGTTCTTTCAGGAGACAAAATTCAGTAAAATTGAAGTATCATTGTTCAATAACGTATAATGGAATTAGTATGAGTGAGCAACCGATGTGTATACAACCCCAGCACAACTCGTTTCAGCAATCTGCACAAAACGTGATGCGGCAAGTGATTACGCAAAACACTAAGGGAACATCCGCCCAACTGTGTGCTCCGGACAAAATTTATGCGATGGGTGTAGAAAGTTTGGCATACTGCATGCCAGTTTTGGTACCGACAGAAACCAACTGGCTAAAAACAAAACTTTCTTTTTCAGACATATCAAAAAACTGCTCAAGCCACTAAGTCAGTCACCCAAACACGTAATCTTGATTTTATATTGATTGGTAATAGGGCGAAAAGAACACCGTTAACGTATAAAAAAAGAGCACTTGTTTTTCATACTATTTCTAATCTTTTTCGGTTTTTGTTTCGCTTATTGTCTGTTACCCGTTTTTTGTTCATCTAGTGGCCCCCCCATACTCGGTTAGCTACGCCTTGTTTCAGAAAGCGCAACGAGAAAATTTCATAAAATTACTTAAAAAGCTATCACGGTACAACCAGAAGGTGGACACGTTCCAGTTGAACCGTACCACCGGTACTCTAGAATGGGCATGTATCCCGGACCTGCGTCAAGAGCTCGATCCAGTAGTCTCGATGTCGTAAAACACCCAGGTGCGCCATAAAAACTCTATGTAACAAGAGCCTGCTTATTGTAACATTCGCCCGGAAGTACATTTCGATGGAAAATAAAACAAGGTTGTAAAACGACCGACTAGCGTCTAAACACAGCTCTACTTGCTTTTAACCGTCTCTGCCAAAGCCAGTTCTTTATGTGGTCCTTTTAACATCGGGTCGACAAAAACGTTATTGTTTCCGGCTTCAGCCAGAACGATCAGATTATCTCAATTACATGCAAAAATAGTGAGCTCATGGCTAGTAACCCCAGACTAAGAGGTCACTCCTAAAAACAAGGCAACTAATTAGTTATTATATTACTATTAATTTTGTTCAGTAGATAAAAATCATCAAGCCCATCGGAGATGGATGAACCCTTTCCCTCAACTCCTAGCTTCTCAATTTCTGCAAAATGAATTCGATGTTGAATAAATTCTTTTCAGGACATTCTGGGAAGCTAAAATTTAATAAAATAGGGAGTTACAGTTGTTCTCTCCCGATACCCTTCCGAGTTTTTAATGTGCCAGTCGGTCATATTTGGAAGTTTGACCTTGAGAAAAGCAAGAGCACTTGATTTTGGGGTGAAATTAAGTTTTTCAAAATTTCGAATGGAGCATGTCATGCACGATTTTCTCGCGATAACTGAAAGTCAAAAAAAGAGAAGTCAGAACAATCGAGTGACAATCGCGGGAAAGTTGCTAGAAAAATCAGTGGGAAATTGCTATTCTCAATTTCAGTAGCGATAATAATCTAGAGTAGAGCTGTCCCATCTAGAAGAGAGACGAGCGCATCCCCACGAACTGGATTGTTGTGATTGGTGTATTATTCTAAACTGGCCTAGAGTGAACCTTCGGTGGAAAGGTGGACAGCTAGAGTGTCCCAATGGTTCACGAGAACTGACATTCTAGAGTATAAACTTGCTCTTGTTATTAAAACTGACAAACATTAAACTCATTTTAGTTACTTTATTGATTCTTGAGTTGCTCACCGACTTATTTACTTCCTGATTCTTGAGCGTGCTACAATGTGAGTACTAATTTAAATTTCTAGAGTGTGTTTTATAATTGTTATGTTGAGGTAAGGCGAGTTTTAGGTTGATCCATCTGAAATGGATCAAAGTTCCACTGTCTAATAAAAAGTAACTCAACGGATTGTTCCGACCCGGTTTTTAACGGCGTTCATGTATTTTGGGTATCTAGAGACCTGAGTATGGGGACGTTATTAATTCTAGAGTGGGGGGGATATTTTAGTAGTAGCCTTTAAGCTGTAACGGGTCGTGGTCTCGTGTCACAAGCGAACCGAATTGGCTCCGACTGATTTGAGGTGGAAAAACACAAGAGATAGTGTCCCTGACTCTTGAGCCAATAGTTATAGGGCCTATTTTTCTTAAGCCTCATGTGTGACTGCAGTAGACGAATGTTACATAGTGTTTTTATGGCGCTCCTGGGTGTTTACGACATCAAGACTACGGAGTCGAACCCACTTGAGACAGCTTCGGGCTGAATGCTCATTCTAGAGTACCGGCGGTGCGGTTCGACAGGAACGTGCAAATCTTCCGGTTGTACCGTGATAGCTTTTTAAGAAAACTCGAGAAAACTTCCTGGTACGCTCTCCGAACGAGGCTTAGCTAACCGAGTAAAGGGGGGCAACTAGGGGGACAAAAACACGAGCAAAAAGACAAAAAGCGAAACAAAAACCAAAAAAAAGAATAGAAAAAGGAACAAAAACCATAAAACGAAAAAAGACAGTGACTTTGACACCAGATTAGTTGGATCAAACCTTTATATTAATTAAATAGTATACCCATACTGTTTTACAAGTTCGATCGTTTCGATCAACCTAGTAATTTAACCCAGTAACCTTAATAAAGAGCCCGAGTGTGGGGCGTTGTCAAGGGTTTTCAGATAGCTTGGAACTTAGCTGGACAACAAGGAGACTCGACTGGAAGAGGTGACCGGCCGAGTGGGAAAGTGGTTCAGGAGCACTTGAGCTGAACCAATAGGAGACTCGACTGGAAGAGGTGACCGGCCGAGTGGGAAAGTGGTTCAGGAACACTTGAGCTGAACCATTAGGAGACTGGACTGGAACAGGTGACCAGTCGAGTGGGAAAGCAGCCAAGAAAGATTTGGCAAATCTCGAGTTCGCAAGTTGGGCAGAACGGGTATCGTTAAAATCCAAATTACATTATAGGAAATAAGTGTAAAATTGGATAAGCGAAATCCCCCGGTTTTGAGGAACGTTTTTACTTGAGCAGGCCTGGAGACAGGTCTACGGTTTTCTCTTGAGAGGTTTAGCACCCGGCGCTTAAGGTGATTTTAGGCTTAAGAAAGGGGGCTAAAAAGGGGGGAGGTTAGAAGGGGGGCTGGTTAAGTTAGAGGTTGGCGGTTGTAAATTGTAAAAAGGGGAGAAATTAGAGTAACTAATTGGCCGACATCGTTGATTTAGTTACATTAGTCATTTACACGCGTTGGTCATAGGAAACGGATATCCAAAATTGGAATTAGGTTAAGGTAGGTACCCTGGTCGGATCGGTAGGGGGGAACGGACATAGACCGTTTTTGTGATACCCCATAAGATCGCTAGCAGGGGGGAAGGAAACGCGTGGCAATTAGGTACCAGACATTTTTTTTTTCGACGAAAGGTAGACATTGGTCACCTTTGAAATTTAGGTGGGCTCATTTTTCAGTTTTTATTACTTTTTCTGGCTTGGACTTTTTGTTGCATTTTGGGGAGGATTTGTGTTTAGTTTTTATACGAACAGGTGATCACAAGATACCTGCGCACAGGTTTTGGTCTCAAGTTGCTTGGAACATTGAAATAGAGGTAACTAAAAAGAAATAAGAAAAAAGGGGGGTCAGCATTTGGCTTTTAAGAGAGGGTTTTTGGAGAAATTTTACTAGAGCTTGAGTGGTGGTACAAGGTACAGTGAATCAAGAAGTCCCCATAACGAAGTAGAGAGAGGTCCCACCGCTCAGACACTTGTCAACAGTCTTGGGACAGTGCCAAAGAAGTCCTGGGACAGTGTTGGACCAGAACAGTCTTGATACAGTCTTGGGACAGTGGTCTTGGGACAGTGGTCTTGGGACAGGGTCTTGGGACAGTGGCCTTGGGACAGTGGTCTTGGGACAGGGTCTTGGGACAGTGGTCTTGGGACAGTGGTCTTGGGGCAAGGGTCTTGGGACAGGGTCTTGGGACAGTGGTCTTGAGACAGTGGTCTTGGGACAGTGGTCTTGGGGCAAGGGTCTTGGGACAGGGTCTTGGGACAGTGGTCTTGAGACAGTGGTCTTGGGACAAGGGTCTTGGGACAGTGGTCTTGGGACAGTGGTCTTGGGACAAGGGTCTTGGGACAGTGGTCTTGGGACAAGGGTCTTGGGACAAGGGTCTTGGGACAGGGTCTTGGGACAAGGGTCTTGGGACAGTGGTCTTGGGACAGTAGTCTTGGGACACTGGCCTTGGGATAGTAGTCTTGGGACACTAGCCTTGGGACACTAGCCTTGGGACAGTAGTCTTGGGACACTAGCCTTGGGATAGTAGTCTTGGGACACTAGCCTTGGGACAGTAGTCTTGGGACACTAGCCTTGGGACACTAGCCTTGGGACAGTAGTCTTGGGAAACTAGCCTTGGGACAGTAGTCTTGGGACACTAGCCTTGGGACACTAGCCTTGGGACAGTGGTCTTGGGACACTAGCCTTGGGACACTACTCTCGGGTCAGGGGTCTTGGGACACTGACGGAGTACTGGGACATTACCGAACAGTCTTGGGACAGTAAAAGGAAGCCTGGGACGGTACGAAGAAGAGTAGGGACGGTAACTGGAAGTCTAAGGACAATATAAAAATTGAAGTAAAATTACAACAAGCTGTTTTAAGACAGGATTAAGACAGAACAAGACTAATTGGAACCCGGTACAGTTGGGACCACGAATAAAGAAAATTACTCGAAGATTTTAGAGAACTGGAACAAGGTCTTTTTTTTCACGTTGTATTTTTTCTTTTAAGAATTTGTTTCCACAAAATTTTTTATTCTTAGAATAGAATTGTATATAAAATAATATTGTAAATAAGAGCAATTGTAAATAGAAATAATGAGA